AAAAAAAAAATGCTGCTGCCACAAGAAATACTGAAATATTACGTTATTTTACAAAGGTTACTCTTGGGACCTTCAGCAGAGACTGAACCTGATGACAGATCTGATGGAGCCTGGAAGCTAAAAAATCTGTCCACACCAATTATATGATCTCGAAAGGAGAAAAAGATGGCGTATTAACGATGGGGCTGGAATACTACCACTAAACAGTATTATGGGGCATATTTGAATGTGGAACGCGTTTCCAGAGACAAGCCGAGAGATGTGTGTACTGGGCCTTTAAAGGTGTTTTGCATCCGGAGCAGCTCCCTCATATCCCCCAGACAGGCCAACGTCTCACCTACAGCATCACAAACCAGTTTGTTTACAAGGGCTTAAGCAGGTACGCAACACTCAGTACTGCGAGGAAAAAGTGAAAGTGCCGTTTTAGAGCTCGTTATAAAGCAACAGTGAAGCATGTTATAGGACAGCCTGGGCGGCTGGCTGAACAGTAAGGAGTAGGCCGAGGGGACACATAGAGCTGTGTGATTGATGCCATTTAGCAACAGTACAGCTAACGTTAGCCATGGACGTGTTATACCAGATTAATGTATTTTTTGGGGGGGTTTACTCAGGTTTACTCTAAATAAAGGCCAGACTTTAACCTTGCGTTAGCTGGGCGCTACGCTAATATACTCAGACAACGATAGTCAAGTTGCAGTGTTCGCTTAAAACAGACCGATAATTTCATATTGTCTTGTTTATCGGTACATTCTGGCAATATTGTATCATTAATACACCCACATTTCCTTTTAATGCGTTTCTGAGTAAGGCTGTAATGGCTATTCAACACTTTCATATTTAATTTAAATATTGCTCGTCAATGATGTTACCGCCGTGAAAAGCAGTTATAGTAGCAGCCGATTTAAATTAGCATTTTTTGTTGTCTTATGTCACACTGGTCAACGCCGAATTAAAGCGTGGACAGTCATTTTTAATAGGACATTGAAAGATAACCGCTAACTAAGAAACTTTTGAAAGCGATAGCCTTGTAATTATTAAATTGACCGGTTTGTGAATCGAGTCTGGCCTCGCGCTCTCCAGGCAGCACACGCAAGGTTGATTGTTGTGGTTATAATTAGTATGGCTGTAATTGACACAGGTGACGTTAACTATATAAACTATATAGTGGGCGGGTACATACACACACACACATATATATATATATGCATGTGTCTGTGTATTTTATTTTATTTTTTAATTTTTTTTAAACAAAATCTTTAAAATGTTTACATCCAGGTAAAACCACCTGCCACCTAAAGTTAAAAATTTTAATCGGTGTCCAGATAGTGCGTGACCTTAGAACAAGGGTGGGGGAACTCCAGGCCTCAAGGGCCAGCGTCCTGAAGGATTTAGATGTTTCCTTCATCCAACACAGCTGATTTAAATGGCTGAATTACCTCCTCAACATGTCTTGAAGTTCTCCAGAGGCCTGGAAATGAACTAATCATTTTATTCAGGTGTGTTGACCCAGGGTGATATCTAAAACCTGGCCCTTGAGGCTTGGAGTCCCCCACCCCTGCCTTAGAACTAGACTTGATTCGCAAAATTTATAGTAGCCTATTCCTAGGAGAGATATTCAGTCTTTGTATTTTCATGTTGGTCTACTACAGCTGCTGTGGTCCCCTGGTTCACTATGGCCCAGAACCAAGTGATTCTGCAGTTCCGCTTCGCCACATTTGGAGACTCCATGCTACAGAAGATGAACCTTCTGAGACACCAGAGGCGCTTCTGCGATGTTACTGTTCGCATCAACCAGCTGGAGGTCCCTGGTCACAAAGTGGTGTTTGCTGCTGGCTCCTCTTTCTTAAGGGACCAGTTCATCCTTCAGCAGGACTCCAGGGAGGTCCAGATCTCTATGATCCAGGAGGCAGAAGTTGGCCGACAGCTGCTGCTGTCCTGCTACACTGGCCAGCTGGAGTTTCCTGAGCTGGAGCTGGTGCATTACCTGACAGTGGCCAGCTTCCTCCAGATGGGCCACATTGTAGAGCAGTGCACTCAGGCCCTCAGCAAGTTCATCAAACCACAGGCTTCACGCCAGCTGGAAGTGGATATAAAAATGCGGAGGGAGAAGAGGGAGGAGAGTTTATCCTCCCAGGCAAAGATAGAACAAGAGCGCTCTCAGGTGCAGACTGTCCATCAGGAGGAGGAGGAGGAAGAGGAGGAGGAGGAGGAGGAGGAAGAGGTAGTGGAGCAGGTGGAGCAGGATAATAACGATGATGAAAGCGAAGATGATGATGTGATTATACAGCCCAAAAGCCCTGTCCAGATCTTGACCAGGCGTCCAAGGCAAGGCATAGTGGAGAGTGACATCACTATAGTAAAGGTGGAGTCTGTGTCTGATGTTGCAGAGAACTCCATCACCGGTCACTTCTCCACCAACCCTCCTGCAGAGCTCCACTCCCCTGAGCCCCAGCACTCGCTCATTAATTCCACCGTTGACAGCCGCAGCAGTGAGATGGCGGTTCCGCCTGGCGTGACGGGATACCCACTTAGCCCTCCTCCTTCATCTCCACCTGCAGAGAAACACATCGGACACCAGAGGAACTACGACAAGCCTCTCCAGTGGTACCACCAGTGCCCCAAGTGCGCCCGAGTCTTCCGCCAACTCGAGAACTACGCCAACCACCTCAAGATGCACAAGCTCTTCATGTGCCTGCTGTGCGGCAAGACCTTCACGCAAAAGGGCAACCTGCACCGGCACATGCGCGTTCACGCCGGCATCAAACCCTTCCAGTGTAAGATCTGCGGTAAGACTTTCACCCAGAAGTGCTCGTTGTTGGATCATCTAAATCTGCACAGCGGAGATAAGCCACATCGCTGTAACTACTGTGACATGGTGTTTGCTCACAAGCCAGTTCTCCGCAAGCACCTCAAACAAATCCACGGGAAGAACAGCTTCGATAATGCAAATGAAGGCAGCCTGCACGACGGCGGGGTGGACTTTGAATTCGGACGAATATGAGATCACTTTGGACTTACTGGCTGTGCTGTTTGAGAACACAGTAACAAAGGCGGCCACGTGAGTGAGACGTTCACTGACATGGATGATGGGTTACCTAAAGGATACAAACATGAACAAAGTTTTTCTGATCGGCACATCACTGTAGCTTCATTACTGTGGACTATTTGTCTTTCTTTTGTACAATACAGTGTAGATGCCTTCATCTCATACTTGAAAATTGAAAAACACTGAAATGCATCATAATGTTTGAACATCATTAGTTTTATTAATGCATTGCCATGTCTTTGTGTCTACCCTGTCCTTTAAAGAACTGCACAATGAACAGTATCCATTTTTATGTTGTTTATGTACACAATCTGCTGTATGATTACTTTTTAAACTGTATGACTATGGCAACGTGGACTTAGGAGAAACTTGAAAGAGTGGAGATGCAACATTATTTTACATAAGGCAAGCTATGTCATTTTGTCTTGGTGGCCAAAGTGTCTGTTAGCCTAAGGGGTCTTCTTTTTTTAATAGAATTTATATCTGAGGTACTATTGGACCAAAGTGACATTGTATCTGTCCTGTGTTCATGGAAGTCAATGTGAGTTACGAATAAAGAAATATTCTTAACTGTTGCTTTTGTTTTCTTACCGTTACTCATTGCTTCATTGTTCACGCACAACAGAAAATTCCCATGTTAGTGTCCAGTCTGTAGTAATGCTCCAATGCCGTTCTCAGTGTGTGCTTGTTTTTACAATTTTTAATCAGATCGAGTTGGCAGTATCTGAAAGTGGCATGGAAATTTCTGGTGAGTTGTTTCAACAAAGGGTTCTGTGTTTCCTGCACTTTCAGTATTTCCACATTTTGAAAGAAGATGCTGTACTCTTTTAAAGAGAGGTTTCGCACCGCTTCACAAAATGAAATCAAATATTATGTCTAATTCTATGCTTTCAGTGTGTATCCGATGTTGAACAGCAGAGATGACAGTAAGAACCTGTTAGACCTCGTTTGCAGCCACGTCTTGCTCACTTTGGAACTGGTTTATTTAACAGATGGGTCCACATGATTCGTCATAAAGGTGAAGGTGCACGGTAAGGTGAAAGACCCCACAACATCTGAGAGAAGTCCCCAATCATAAGCTGACCCTTTATAAGCAAGCAATTGGCAACAGTGGGAAGGAAAACTTCTTCTCCTGACAGAACCAGGCTCGTGGATGGGCAGCCATTCTCCACAACCTGTTGAGGGTGAGAAAAGGGAGATGTGTTTATACAGTTACGAGTGACATTTATGAAAATGTGTTAAATTAACCACTGGCGACCTGTCAAGGGTTCACCCTGCTTCTCTCATTAAGACAGCTGGGATAGGCTCCACCCACCCCCCCAAACCCCATCCCCACCCACCGTGACCCTGACAAGGATAAGTGGAAGAGAATGGATGGGTGGATAGCATTACCTTTGAAAGAATAAAATAATATACAGTTAAAATGAATAGGCCTACTGTACCCAAGACTAGGTAGGCTTGCAAACCTTTAGCAGGACTGATATTTTCTCCAGTGTAGTTACTTATAGTTACTGCCTTTGTATATGTGTATTTATATTACTTAGATGTTGGCCCAACATTTATTCTTCAGAAGTAGAAAGGTGGCAGGAATAAATCCTTCTGTTTTCTTGAGCCAAGGCTGGCTGTTATTGCACTCGAGGCAGCCCTATGCTGGAGCGTTGTGTTTTGACCCAATATTTGTTTTGGCTTTCTACATCAAATAACCCAATACAAGTAGTTAAATAATCGTATTTACAGCAATGTACTTAAACATGTCCAACAGTCTAATGTCAGCATAAAATAAGTTTACCATGACAGTATGTAAGTTGTCTAAACTGGAATTAGTGTAAAAACACTATGCTTAAAATTGTATTTGCCAAGCAGTAAATGTGATTTGAATATAATGAATTTGAATAAGGACGGCTTTGTCGAGTCGTCATTGTTTCACATATCTTCATTGGTTCGTGGTGTAGCCATGAGCAAGTCAGCAGGCTGCTGCAAGAGATTCCTGCACTATGCTTTTGACTACGAAACACCAAAAACGCTGGTTATTCCCAGCTTAGGTGTAGGATTTGTGTTCAGGTTCACCCAATTCTTGGTGGTGATGTATGTGGTTGGGTAAGTACCCAATAAAATCAGAGGAGGGGATTGATTGGTTGGGGATGTGGTAATATGTGGATTATGAAATGATGTTTTTGCTTGCACAGTTAAACTCAGACATTTCTGCAAACCTGCTGTAGGTATGTGTGTGTGGTGCAGAAGGCCTACCAGGATACAGATACTGTCATCAGCACCGTCACCACGAAAGTGAAAGGTTTCGCTTTCACCAACACATCTGACACGGAGCCTCGTTTTTGGGATGTGGCTGATTACATTATCCCTCCTCAGGTACTGAAACGTGCATTTTAGGATTTCTGTCATTTTATATGTGAGGGGGGAGAACAGCATAACAGGTTTTGGCTTTTTTCATTCCCTGGAAACTTTTTCCCTGCTCTACTTTCTGACAGAGTGATCATTCATTCTTTGTGCTGACGAATATGGTTGTGACCCCAAAACAAGTGCAGTCACATTGTCCCGAGGTGAGTCACTGCTGTTACAAAACAGATAACCAGAGCCAAGGGTCGGCCATGTCTTGCCAAACTCGCACAACCATTGATGAAGACCATTAGAGTGCCAAGTACATGGTGATTGTCCTGTATTAACAGCTTATTTTTTTCTATTACTACATTTCTCTGTGGCTATTGTTTTTCAGTTGGGGGAAATCATAAATATGATTATAAACCCTTTTAAAGTCAAGTGTATCATATTTTCTGTGAGTTTTTCCCCCACGGCAAGTAAATTGCACAAAAATACCTGATGCAGGAAATATGGCACAAATCATAACTCATATAGCCAAATGGATACTTATCTAATTAAAAATTGTTAGAAGACTCAAGAAACTTCAGGCTTTAAAGGGTTAAGTATTAAATACTTTTTAATGTTTGCATTAACCCTTTAAAGCCTAGATAATTTTTTAAAATTGGGAGCTTCTGACAAAGATTTTTAATTAATTTAAAAATGTAATTAATCTGTTTGTGTCATATTTTCTACATCCAGCATTTAAAAATGTATTTATTTATTTAATTGTTTTGCATATTATTGCTTAAAAATGTTTGTGAAATTTATTTAGGATTTTTAACTTCACCTTCAAATATACACATTAACACTGGAGATTTTTCCTGCAGCTTCCAAGCCCATCAACTACTTGTGTGGATGACTGCAACTGTGTCGAGGGACGCAGTGATCCCCGGGGCAACGGTAGGCCTTCCTCCCTGATGATACAGCCCCTTTAATATTTGTGGCCTCACGCAGCAAAAACTCAGCGTGAAATTTATTTTCCACCCAGGTATACAGACGGGACTGTGTGAGAACTACTCCACCACTGCACGGACCTGTGAAGTGCTCTCATGGTGCCCACTTGAAATAGACACTAAGCTGCCTGAGTAAGAATATATTTACCATGTTAGAATATTTGTTACTAGTTCCAGGACTGTGGAGGCTTGATGTGTTGTTTCATGTCCTGCAGGCATGCGCTGCTGGTTGCAGCAGAAAACTTCACCGTGTTGATCAAAAACAGCATCACGTACCCAAAGTTCAACTTTCACAGGTCGGTGAACTGCATTTGAATGTAAGAGGGAGATCTGTAGATGCTTAAGCAAACATACAGAGTCACAGTTTTCCCCATTAAACCGGAGCCTTGTCCTCCTTCCTCCAGAAGAAACATACTGCCTCATGTGAACTCCTCATACCTGAAGAGGTGTGAATTCAGCCGTCTCACAGACCCACACTGTCCCATATTCAGACTCAAGCATATTGTCTCAGAGGCTGGGGAGGATTTTCAAGACATGGCTGTGAAGGTGAATCGAATGATCGTTGTCTTTCTGTACTGGAATTCATTGTTCAAGTTCCTGTATGGTCTTCCTCCAGTATATATGTCTCATAAGCAGGATGTGAGCCAGTACAGCCCTCAGGTTCCCTGGCTCCCGTCTGATAGTCACTCCCACAGTTAGTGTAATGTATGCATTTTTATGTTCTCTGTGGTCGCTCCATATCACAAGGCAAAAACCTTTCTAGCTTCTCTGCTCTGTGCTGCGATTAAAGTCTACCATGGGAGCTGAGAACAGCTGGAAATGCTGAACTCTTAAAGCCATTTTTTGGCTTTCCATTAAGTGTGGTTGAGCACTATGTAGCTGTTTCACCTTCATTGTAGGATACATTGTTTTACATGGTTGTCTCTTTAAACTCTGAAAAGCGGGTATAAGTTAACATTTCATTCAGTATTGCCATATTTGAACTTAATAATTATTGTCTTACTCTGTTTTCAATTGTAGTTGGTGTTTTCAACCAAATTTTAGGTCCTTACAGGTTCTTATCTATATATATTATGATCATGGTTGCCTAGCAATGGCCATTGAAGCTTTTTTTTTTTTTTTGCATTTATGCTCCTACAATAAAACACATTTTACTATTTCAGTTTCATGGCCAAAAGCACAAGCAGTCATTAAAATACTGTGGCATAGGCGTGTACTAGTTTTATACCATTCTTTGTTATTGTTTTTTGTCCAAACACTACTTTTTGTAGTGACTATTATATTTTAATTGTTGTGTTTAATTACATCAGTACAGATCTAACCTAAATTTAAAGGTGCTAACTGAATAATCCTGAACTGAGTGATTTGTTTTACAGGGGGGTGTCCTTGGTATTCTTATTGACTGGAGCTGTGATTTGGACTGGTGGGCAGGGGAGTGTTTACCTAAATACAGCTTCCGGAGGCTGGACAACAAACATCCTGTCAACAATGTGGCCCCTGGTTACAACTTTAGGTGAAAAACTTTTTTTTTTTTTTTAAACAGACAGGTACTGATGAATGTATAAGGCTGAATAAAGAACTGCTAAAACTTCTGTCTTTTAGATTTGCTAAATACTACAAGGCAGCAGATGGAGAGGAAACCAGAACGTTAATCAAAGCTTACGGGATCCGCTTCGACGTCATTGTGTTTGGAACTGTGAGGCCTGACTAATCTTGAAACAGCAATGATTTTATCAAGAACGGTCCGTGTTTTTACTTTAGTCTTATGGTAGTTTGGGGTTCTTACAGGCAGGAAGATTTTCCATCGTTCCAACCATAGTGAACTTGGGTGCAGCCTTGTCATTCCTCAGTTTGGTGAGAAGAGAAATGTTCAGACTAGCATCCGTATAAGTGATGAAACACCAAATTTTAAATGTTTTGACTATTTTCGTTCAGGTGCCCGTGGTTGCTGACTGGTTTTTGGTGACTTGCTCAAGGAAACGAGATCTTTACAGCAGACACAAAACAACACATCTCACTGAAGATGCAGACAGTGCATCGGTAACTGACTTTTCTCCTTCACTTTCACTGATGATCTTTAGTACTGACTAAGATCTTAAATGTTGGTCTGTTTGTTTGTGTTTTTTTTGTAACACAGGTGTCAATGGGGACCACCTATGGAACCCAGTAGCAGGAACAACATTTTTCTACAGAGAAATTGGAACCCTCATGAAACGAGACGTTAAAACATCATTTGAATATTTCACTAAAACCATTAAAATGTGATAATAGAAAGAAGGAGGATAAACAATGATGGAGGAAGAACTCTGGCTTTTATTTAAGTAGCACCTACAAAACACTCACTAGTAAAAGTATAAATGTGTAATCTTCAAAATATAATTATAATACCAGCAGCAAATGAAAGGTTTCAGAATAAAATACAGTTCTGGGCTACTAATTACTGATCATTAATATGTTCTTTTACAGCTTATTTTATTATTAGTGCAGCTTATTATTTGCACTTTTGAGTAGTTTCACCTAAAATAATGTATTATCAGTTACCAGGTAATTGTATTTGAGTATTCAATTGAGTCAAAAACATGTAGTTATGTGAAAATAAATGGAAGTATCGTTACAGATTATTTGTATAATGTATTAGGACCTGGAATCATCATCATTCATATGTGCAATAATGATTGCGGAGCATGGTGTATTTTATGAGCCAATTGTTTTTTCCTTTTGCCACTAATACATTTTTTAACACTTGAAGACACAACAGACAAACACTTGAATTTCCTGTCCCCCTATTCTTCTAGTCACATGACTTATAGTGAGTAGTATACATAAAAAAAAAACATCGTCCGTTTAAAATGTTAGTGAATAGTAGGATTAGTCCTGAAATACTTTAGTAAAGTTTGCCTACTAATAGTTCAAATCTATGGTTCAAATATGTAGTAGTAAAAGCGCGTGGATACAGTTCTCATAAGAAGCGTTAAAGTCTCCTCCACACCACATGGTGGCAGCATAACGCAAGCAAACACAAGAAGCGTCTCAGTACGCGAGTAAACACGGAATAGAGCAGAGGAGCGTCTCGTTTCGAGGCATCGGCACGAAAAACCGTCCTGAAAATGAGTTTTTGTTACTGTTTTTCTTGTTAGTTATGTGTGTGCGCCTCGCAGCGGCGTGAGTCACAGAGCTGTTCGCGTTTTATCAGCAACAGAGCGATAAATAGTGCTAGCCTGGACGCTTGTAGTCGGGGAGCTAGTTTTTTTTTTAACTAGTTAGCATCGATGAGGGCACCCAGCCTCGCCCTCAGTGCTGCAAACAAGACTGACCAGCTGGTACTGAGTTAGTTACCGGGCGGTCTGTGGGAGAAAGAAACCAGCAGAATGACAGGTGAGTGAAACAGTGAAGCAGTCTTGTGACAGCGCTAGTATTTGTTTTGTTGAAATGTGAAAGTAACTCCTCGGTTTACTCAGATGATGTCCTGCTGGATGTTCCTGTTATCCGGCAGCTGTACCACTGGGACTGTGGCTTAGCCTGCTCCAGGATGGTCCTCAAGTAAGAGCACATCAAGGTTTTTACCTTCAGAAGTCATGTTTTTGTTACACTATGTACTGTAGCTGCCATACAAACTGCAGTGCTTACTGTACTGCCTGTCAGCAGGCTCTTTTCTGAATTGCAAATCAAAGGTGCCTTGGCATTGTGTGAGGGATTCACACTCTGGTTGTCTGAATGTGTAGGTACCTCCACCCTGTCAGCGATGATGAGTTTCAGAGGGCGTGCTGGGATCTGAAGCTGACAGAAAGTGTGTGGACTATCGACCTGGCCTACCTCATGTGCCATCTAGGAATCAAACACTGCTTTTGTACACAGACTCTGGGTGTAGATAAGGGCTTTAAAAACCAGGTACGTAGTCCAAACTAACAGTGTAATTCTAACCAGTTTTGAACATTTTGATAGTTACCTATGATTGTGTCTTGATGATGTTTTGTTGTTGTTTACAGTCCTTTTACAAGAAGCATTTTGATACTGAAGAAAACAGAGTGAATGAGCTCTTCCTTAAAGCGGAGAGCAAAGGTGTGGTGGTGAAGAAATGGTGAGCTTCCTGTCGATGTTAATTTACCCGCCTACTTTTTTCAGTACCTTAAAATAAATATATGACCTCAGTTGTGTGTGCCTTCTCACAGTTCTGTGTCAGTTCAGGAAATCCAGTCTCATCTGGAGCAGGGCCACGTTGCCATAGTGCTGGTCAATGCTGTGGTGTTGACATGTGAACTGTGCTCCCAGCCTGTCAAATACTGCTGCTTCATGCCCGTGGGTCAGAAGTGTTTCTGCAGGAAGCCGGACTATCAGGGTCACTTTGTGGTTGTGTGTGGCTTCAACAGAACCACTGGCTCCATCTTCTACAATAACCCAGCGTATTCTGACCGTGAGTATACTTGTATTTCTACTTCTACCATAACTGTAAGTAAAATTAATCTGTGGTATGTAAGAGACCGTCTTAGTAAATGTGAATCCTCCTTCTTAGCCTTACCTGTCATGACACTGCTCGTTGTGTGGAAGTTATTGTAGAAAAGCTGCCAGAGAAGTGGATGGCTCAAGGTTTGCAGGTGATCTGCTAGATTGAACTAGAGTTTAATATTCCACACAAATCCATACTGGGTGCACAAAATGTGCTCACTGGTGTTTTGAGCACCACAAGTAACTGCTGCCTGATTCCATTCACTTAAAAAGAAAAAAATCTCAAAGGCCGGTATCTCCAAAAGTCTTCATGTCACACTGGAATTATCAGGATGGCCATCATCCTGCTGTTGCCTCACAGCAAGAAGGTCCCCACCTGTTTACTGTATACTTTGCCCTGTTGCAGATGGTCAAGAGACCAGTTTGAAAGCAGAAGAAAATAGATGGATGGATGAATAGCACTAAAGCAAAATTCTCTTAATTTGAGTTCTGTGAGCTGTTCTTTTTAAGGAATCCTCAGAAATAAAATATATATGATACAATTTAAATAAAACCTACTGTTAGGCTTAGACTAAGAAAGCTTAAATTTTGGCACACAGCGATAGAGTCGACCCTTAAACAGCAGCTGCTCTGCTTTCGGGTTTGGTGTAATGCCACTTTTTGTTGCAGCTGTTTTCAGTCATCGTGTGATTCGTGAACGTCAATGTTTCCATTAACATTAACAAACCTTGCTTGGTTCCATGTCACCGCATGAGCTGAACCCCTCACATTGTGAATGACAGAAATGCAGAAAAAAAGCTATGTTTAAAACAGATAAACCTCTAAACGGCGGACTTTATTTGCGGGGCAGCTGTGCTCTCTTTTCTTTCTCCTCCTTAGTAGTGACAGAGTCAATTCAAGCTGGTAGCACAAGTTTATGCTGCCTGGCTTGATGTTCAGTGGTGCATTTGTGCAGTTTCTGGAGTTAGAAATGGTTCATGTTTCACAAGTCATTGTTTTTTTCCATAAGCAAGCCTCTGTTGATCAGAGGCTTATTTGTTGTTTCATATGAATGGAGTCGTGCATGAGAAAGGTGAACACTTACTTAAGGTCCACTCTCGTATTGCTTCAGCATAGACAACATAATATATTCAGACCCAGCACTAATCCGAAGTAATTCTAATGAATCCAGAGGGAGCCACGAGGGTGTGGATCAAATTTCATGGTAATCCAGCAGGTGTTGAGACATTATGTATAAACACCATGGCTGGTGGTATTTACTGTATGGGCACCAGCGAGTTTTATAGCAGTCCATGAACATTGCCATCTATAGAGCTAACAGTGGGAGGCAGACCCAGAGTGCACTTTTTGAGCAGCTTATTTATAAATGTGTTTTTATTTATTTAACTTGGAGCTGACAGATCTGTGTGTGTGTATTTTTAGGGGTGTGCTGCACCAGCGTCAATAACTTTGAGGAAGCTCGACGCAGCTATGGGACAGACGAGGATATCCTGTTCGTGTTTAAAGAGAGTTGATGGATTTGGATTTTTGTCATTATAGGAATATCAAAATGCTGCAGATCCCCAGTCTAATGACACCTCCTCCTGTCTGCTGTCACAGATCCCCCTTTTGCAGGCTTTTTTCCTCCGGTGCCAAAAAGCCTGCTCACATATATACATGTACTGTATATGCCAACACTACTTAACTTTTGAATGATTCACCCTGGGAAGAATTAGGAATCCAGGATGGATCCTTTTATTTCTGTTTTTGTGATGAACAGATATTTCAGATTCATCTTATTGTCAATGTGGACGTTTTTACTGACTGCAGTTGTACTGGAATCTCACACTGAGTGCACAGACTTGCACAACTGTGGCAGAACTGCGGGAAACATGAGCAAGAGTAGAATTTACCAGGAAATTGTGTGCACATAATTCAGGGCCGATGTTGATAATACTTGGAGTGTTCATTTCTTTGTTCTGCTCAGTGTTAATGTGAAGCTGCTCATCCGCCCCCCCTCCAGCCTCGCCTCTACCTGCCTTTTAAAAATCCTCCCGACTCACCGCATTTTAATCAGACGATTCTGTAAACAGGGAAATACAGGAAGCAAGTCACGAGAGTATCAGGTAATTAATGCTCTAAATTGTGACTCAAATGATGAAGCAAGTTCAATGCAATACTCCATAGATGTATGGAACTCATGGACACTCAGCTCGGACGTGATGAAACGTGACTTCACCGGATTCAATTGCTTCACTGGAAAAGCAGCTCCGCATGTGTCCTGTGCCTTTGGGGAATGTGCTGGATACATGGATGCGTTAGGACTAGGATAAGTCATTTTGGTTTGTAAATGAAGACGAGGTCATTTCCTCATTGTCACGGAGTTTTATTTTTAACTTACATGTTTTTGCACTACACTTTCATACCAGACACGATTATGTTATTTAAATTATATTGCTTTTCCGAATCAAGGAAAAGTGGGTCCTGTCTGGTTGTGCTTCTGGATGAAAACCACAAGTTTTATTTTTTTATTCAGTATAGATAGCGCTTTTATTATATGTTGTGATTAAAACATTTGAACAGCCTTGTTGTTTTCGTCTGCTTTATATAGGTTTAATAGTGAACTCATACCTTAAACCTCATGTTATAGGTCAAATCTTATATAAACAACATCAAGTGCTGTGTAGTTGGGACACTGTTTAAAAGGGAATTAAAAAGATTTGCTGTTGCCTGCACTCCAGCGTCGTCTCCGCACCTAAACAGAAAAATGAGTACGGTCAGGCATCTGTGACCACAGTGTACCCATCTTCAGATAGCTGCTTCCAACAAGATAACACGCCAGCTCACAAAGCTCAGATCATCTCAAGCA